GGGTTGGCTCAGGGGAGAGAGCGCCGGCCTGCAGACTAAAGGGTCCCAGGTTTGATTCCAGCCACAGGCACATGCCCAGGTTGCGGGCTCAATCCCCATTGTGGGGTGTGCAGGAGACAGCCAATCAATGATTCTCTCTCATCATTGATATTTCTATCTCTCTTTCCCGCTCCCTTCTTCTCTGAAATCAATAAAAAAAAATTTTTTAAATTAAAAAAGAATATAAACACCTGGGTTGACATAGTCTATATAATCTCAACTGCAATTACCAAAAAAAATGTAATTTCAGCAAACGTAAATTATTAAAATTTTAAAAATAGTTCATGTATGTTTTCTCAAAAGTTATTTTTCTCCTAAAATATGAAAAATTGTTAAAGCTAGAAGGCAAGATGTAATCATACTAAGTGAATGTTAAATTTTAAAATCAAAATTACTTTTAAAGATTTTTAAATTGATTTTTTTAGTGAGAGAGCAGGGGAGATGGAGAGAGAGAAACACTGATGTGAGAGAAACATCCATAACTACGTCCTTCACTCCCCCTACAAGGATCAAGCGTGCAACCCAGGGCATGTGCCCTGATAGAAAATTGAACTGACAACCTTTCAGTGCATGGGGCACCACCTAACCAACTGAGCTACACCAGTTAGGGCTAAAATCAAAATTATTTATGTAGACCTGAAATTAGTTTTTGAAAATTTAGTTAAATATTTTGATGTAAGTAAAACCATTTTCAAGTTCATTTGCAATACCAGTGTCCATCTCATTGCCCATGCAAAGAACTGGCATCACATATCACTCATGTTACATCTAGGCAAACATGAAAGCAAAGAAATAAAACTGTCAATATTGCAAAATGTTCCTCAGTTACCATGTGCGGCTCTTATGAAAATAGAGCTAATTTCTGGGCACTTCTGGAATCATGAGTTAGAACCTGGAAAGCAGCAAGACCGTGTACACTTGGCACTACTAGGAAGCAATGCTTTGTTGTGCAAGAATCTATGGCAGTCATGTTATCTGAGGGAGAAGGGTTTGATGGGTACATTGATTTGTCTTTTCTTTTATCCAAGTGGTTCTACTGCTCATATCGCCCTCTAGTCCCTTAAACAGTGTCTGTCTGGATGTTAGCAGTGGCACAATCCACTGAAACTATTTGGATGCAGCTGTCTTTTCTTTAGAGGTGTGGGCAAACATGGCTCTGAGTTGTGGGAGTGGATGCTTAGGGTTATGGGTTGAACAGTGCCGGTACTGAGCACCAGATCCCAAATGACGAAGTGCCTGTGTGTTCTCTACCAAAATCTCATGTATGTGTTTGTGAATAGGAATTCTTTAAAGCATGGACCAAAAATTAGGGCCCCTCTTTCTTGCTTTTGAAGAGGCACTGGCATATGGGAGCCTTTTGTGGTCACCCAAGTGAGGTGGAAGGAAGAAAGGCAGAAGGCTAGAAGAAGGGAACAGTGACCAGGCTAAACCTCACAACGGGAAGAGCTACGGAGTGATTTGCCAGTGATTGCCCCTGGAAAACTCTCAAAGACCAGGAGGTGCCAGCGAGGCAGTTTCCCTCGGTGGTGCTAACCTGACCATTGGGAATTTTGCACACCCTGGCACACACAATTCAACTTAATTTGGGAGCAGCTACATTTTCTTTCTTTCTTTATTTTTTTATTTTTTATTTATTATTTTTTTATTTTTCCATTGCATTCCTGATTATCCTCTCCGGTGCTTTTTAAACATCATGTCACATTCTGTGGTCCTAAGAGATGTAATTCCTACATTTAAACATTAATAGCTTCAATGAGAAATCTCAACAAAGAGAACATTTTCCATCTTTTTGTGGAAGATCAGATACATCTCTGCATGTATAATTTTCAAGCAGATAATATTGCCAAAAAGTGCCAGACCTTAGGGCTTCTCTCTGTGTCCTCAAAAGCAGTCATGTAGGCGGCAGAGGCAACATGCTGGGGAAGGTGGAAGACTCCAGTCCTGGGTCCTCCATTTTTGGGCAGAGCCACGTGCTCGGCAAGGCTTCTTCCCATTTTCTTTTTTTAAAAATATGTTTTTATTGATTTCAGAGAAGAAGGGAGAGGGAGAGATAGAAACATCAATGTTGAGAGAGAATCATTGGCTAGCTGCCTCCTGCACACCCCCTACTGGGGATCGAGCCCGTAACCCGGGTATAAGCCCTTGACTGGAATCGAACCCAGGACTCTTGAGTCCACAGGCCAACACTCTATCCACTGAGCCAAACTGGCTAGGGCACATTTTCAATTATGTGTTAATCAATCAACTAATAAAACGAACTTGTGTGGAGTGCTATTACGTGCCAGGCACTGCAGCGCTGGAAGGGCCTGGGAGTCAGTGCTGAGCAAGGTGGGGAGATCCTTGAGCTGCTGTTCATGGTCTTGCAGGGAATGGAGAGGCTAAACAACAAATCGAAGGCAGGGCAGTTGAGATGCTGTGGGAAAGTTGGGCTTCTGGAATCTTGTCTACAGAAAACCTGAACCAGGAGGCAGAATTCCCACTAGACATCTCTCTCATGACAACTGCCAGAACCAGGAGGGAATGAACTCTCCAGTCAGACTAATTTACGCCCTAAATTTAATATTGCTAAATGGCATCCCCAGAGTCTGGTAGAATTTCACTTCCATTGCTAATCAAGGGCTGTCTGGTGGATTACTTAATAACAAGCCCCACTCTGATTTCGGCCTTCGAGATGGAAAATCACATTCCTGATCCGCAGGTCTGATCCTTACAAATAACTGGGGTGGGGAGACAGGAGGAAGAATGGCCCAAACATGGACTTTGGAGCCAGGGAGACATGTCTATGCTGGGTTTCCAGGATCTGTGACCCTGAGCAAGGCAACCTTTGTTCTCTTAGCCTCAGTTTCCTCATTTATAAAATGGGGACATTGCCACATATGTCACTGGGTCATTGAAAGGATTAAAAACAATAATGTAGAGACCCAACACATGGCAGTCAAGAATAAATGTGGTTTTTTGTTTTTTCCTTATTTGTTTAAGATTTTTCTTTATTTTTAAAAAGCCCTAGCCAGTTCGGCTCAGCAGATAGAGCATCGGTGTGTGGACTGAAGGGTCCCGGGTTCAATTCCCGGTCAGGGCACATGCCTGGGTTTCGGGCTCAATCCTCGGGGCGGAGTGGGGGGGGGGGTGTGTGAGCAAAGGGGCGTGCAGAAGGCAGCTGATCAATGATTCTCTCATAATTGATGCTTCTTTCTCTCCCTCTCCCTTCCTCTCTGAAATTGAATTAAAAATAAAAAAAGTTGTGCAAGATTTGTTTGCTAAAAACAAAACACTTGAAAGAAATCAAAGATAACAGAGGCAACTCATATACTTTGTTCATGGATTAGAAGATTCAATGTTGTTAAGATGTCAGTTTTCCCCAAATAGATATATAGATTCAATCTAATCCATTTAAAAATTCCATCAGGAATTTTGGTTGATATCAACAAACTGATTCTAAGATCTTGATTTATTTTTGACTTTATGTTAAGTGTGAATGTCTAAACATGTAGAAATAATCAATAAGGGGTAGAAATAAAATACAGAATCTCTTGCTTAGCATCATTAATCTGTTTTGGGAATCAGATATTCTGTATGAAAACACAGACTGGAAGAAGCCTGATTCCCATTATTTTACATGGGAGAAATTATAATGCATGACATGTCAACACCAAGCCCCTTCCAAATTTCCCAAAACATAAATAAAATATAGTGAGACATCTGCATACAAGCAACAATCTATCATGTTAATATTTAATATGATTAAAATCATTGCTTCCTTCAAAACAGTAGTACTGGTATAAGGACAGACAGACAGACCAATGGAATAAAATAGAGAGCCTAAAAATAAACCCTCACATGTATGGTCAGATGATTTTCAAGAAGAGTTCCAAAATCATTCAATAGGGAAAGGACAGTCTTTTCAATAGATAGCCACATGCAAAGAATGAAGTTGGAATCTGACATTACAGAAAAATTAATTCAAATGGATCAAAGACATAAGTGTAAAAGCTAAAACTATAAAACTCTTAGAAAACATTGGGAAAAGGTTTCATGATATTAGGTTTAGCAATAATTTGCTGGATATGACACCAAAGGCACAGGCAAAGAAATAAAAAAATTGATAAACTAGACTTCATCAACATTTAAAACATTTATGCATCAAAGGACACTATCAAGAGAGTTAAAACACAACCTACAGCCCTAACTGGTTTGGCTCAGTGGATAGAGTGTCGGCCTGCAGACTGAAGAGTCCCAGGTTCGATTCCGGCATGTACCTTGGTTGCGGGCACATCCCCAGTAGGGAGTGTGCAGGAGGCAACTGATCAATGTTTCTCTCTCATCGATGTTTCTAACTCTCTATCCCTCTCCCCTCCTCTCTGTAAAAACAAAAACAAGCAAACAAACAAAAACACAACCCACAGGATGGGAGAAAATATTTGCAAGTCATACGTGTTAAGTAATTAATATTCTGAAAATATGAAGAAAAACTCCTACAACTCAACAACAAACAACCCAATCCAAAAGTGAGAAAATAACATGAATAGACATTTCTCCAAAGAAGATATACAATCAATAAGCACATGAAAAGATGTTTAACATCCCTAGTTATTAGAAAAATGCAAATAAAATAAAATTTATTAATGAGAGGTAATTAGGTTTAGATGAGGTCATAAGGGTAGAGCCTCCATCATGGGATTGATGTCCTTAGAAAGAGAGAAAGACTAGCACTCTCTCTCTCTGCCACTTGAGAACAGCAGAAGGTAGCCAACCATAAATCAGGAAAAGAGCTCTCACCAGACAGGTCCCCGAGCTCCAGTCTCCAGAACTGTGAGAAAGAAATGTTTGTTGTTTAAGACACATAGTCTATGGCAGGGGTCCTCAAACTATGGCCCGCGGGCCACATGCAAATACAAATATTGTATTCCTGTTTTGTTTTTTTACTTCAAAATAAGATATGTGCAGTGTGCATAGGAATTTGTTCATAGGTTTTTTTAAAACTATAGTTCGGCCTTCCAACGGTCTGAGGGACAGTGAACTGGCCCCCTGTTTAAAAAGTTTGAGGGCCCCTGGTCTATGGTATAGTGAAATAGCAGCCAGAGTTGGTTAAGACAGGCAGTATGATTGGTGGGCCTGGACTCATATCCACTCCTGCCCAGAGAGGGAGGCGGGGCAGTTCCCTAACAGAAGCCAGATACTATTACTAGAAAAAAAGGAAAAGGAACGCTGGGCAAGCCCCACAGATTTTTCATTACAGGGTCATAGAGATATGTAATGATTGATTCCTTAAGAGGTGACAATGTTATTTACTTTAATCACAAGCAAAAATTAATCTATTTTTGTGTTAACGTTTTGAAGAATTTATAGAGAAGAGTAAATTCTACATACAGGTGAACATGGATCCTTTAGAATTTTTCATCCATCCCCAACTTTTTAAGGATTAATAATACTTTAAAGACAGAATGGTTTGAATAGCTCCATATCTGAAAATGAACTTTCCTTTTGTTTCTTTCTTCAGCCTATCTCAGTTTTCTTTATTTTTTTAAATATATTTTTATTGATTTCAGAGAGGAAGGGAGAGATAGAAACATCAGTGATGAGAGAGAATCATTGATCAGCTGCCTCCTGCACACCCCCTACTGGGGATCGAGCCTGCGACCCAGGCATGTGCCCTTGACTGGAATTGAAGCCGGGGGCCCTTCAGTCCACAGGCTGACGCTCTATCCACTGAGCCAAACCAG